GGTTGAACTCGATGATCTCAGAGCTCTTTTCCAACCAAATGGATCCCGTGATTCTGTGTGGTTCCCAGCCCGGGCTTGCAGGCTCTGCAAACAGCGCCGGTGCGTGTGGCGCCCTGCGGAGCGAAATCCCTTCAAACAGCGAATCCGAAAGCTCAGGAGCTCGCCGTAACAATACAGGTCAATAAAGAAGCAAACTCTCAGCGCGGCAGTGTGTGATGGACCGCATTTGCTTCTTTAATAATTTACTGTGTTAATGGATGCTGTCAGATGAGCCCTCTGGTGCGAAAGAACGTGAGACCTGCTTCTCGAGGAGAGGTATATAAGAGATAAGTTTGGAAGGTTTTATAAGAAGGATGAGCATGATGCACGCAGGGGAGGAATCCCCAGGCAGGTTGGAAGCTCCTACAAGGAAAGGCTGAGAGAACTGGGTTTGTTCTGCCTGTCAAAAAGGAAGGCTTCGGGGTGACCTAATTATGACCTTCCAGTACCTGAAGGGAGCCTGCAAGAAAGATGGAGAGAGACTTTTTACAAGGGCATGTAGTGACAGGACAAGGGGCAATGGCCTTAAAATGAGGGTAGATTTAGATTAGTTATTAGGAGGAAGTTCTTTGCTGTGAGGGTGGTGAGACACTGGAACAGATTTCCCAGAGAAGTTGTGGATGCCCCATCCCTGGAAGCATTTAAGGCCAGATTGGATGGGGCTCCTAAACAACCTGGAAAGGTGTCCCTTTCCATGACAGGTGGGTTGGAACTAGAGGATCTTTAATGTCCCTTCTAACCCAGGCCATTCTACGATTCTAATTGAGACAAGGTGAATAAGATCCAGACTATGAAGTAGAAGCAGAACAGAGACTTTCACATGGTAGAAAACTCATCCTGAGTGACTGAGCTCTGGGCAGAAGCCACAGACTGATAATTACTGGCCTGTAGTCAGTGCAAAATGAATTAACTAAAAGCAGATGGAGACTCATGAGAACTCAACACTCTCACTGCTGACCTACCACCTTCCAGGGAGCTCCTCACCAGCAGAAGCACCTTCTTCCAATGTCCTGCAGTATCAACTCACAAACTGGATCATGCAGCTCACAGTGCTAATATTTTTTAAGTACCATTCATTCATTGTATCACTGAGGACAAGACCATTCCAGCATCTTTTTTTAAGAAATACTTCATCTGTAAGCCATGTTATTTACTGGCTATTCTGAAGATAACTACAATGGCTGATAAATCTTAACAAAGAAAAAATAATTCATTCTGTACAATCCAAATAGCAATAATGCAGTTAGTAGATTTAAGAGAAAAACTAAATAATAATTAAATTATGGTGGTGGTAATAAACAAATAAACAACAGCAAGCACAGTTGTATTTAACTGTTGTTATATTTCAGTTCCAAAACAGTACTGAAGTCATTAGGACACCTTCATTACCTTATTCTTATGATACAGTTTTGCAATCAGCATTAAGTAGAGAAGGAAAAAGAATGAGATGCTGGAAAGCAGTGCCATGGGAAAGGACCTGGGGGTCCTGGTCGATGGCAAGTTGAATATGAGTCAGCAGTGCCCTGGCAGCCAGGAGGGCCAGCTGTGTCCTAAGGGGCATCAGGCAAAGCATCGCCAGCCAGCTGAGGGAGGGGATTGTCCTGCTCTGCTCTGCACTGGGGCAGCCTCACCTTGAATATTGTGAGCTGTTTTGGGTGCCACAATATAAAAAAGATACGAAGTTATTAAGTGTTCAAAGGAGGGCAATGAAGATGGCGAAAGGCTGTAGGGAAAGCTGTATGAGGAGTGGCTGAGGTCACTTGGTCTGTTCAGCCTGGAGAAGAGGAGACTGAGGGGAGACCTCATTGCAGTCTACAACTTCCTCGTGAGGGGAAGAGGAGGAGGAGGCACTCATCCCTTCTCTGTGGTGACCAGTGACAGGTTGTGAGGGAATGGCCTAAAGTTGTGTCAGGGGAGCTTTAGGTTGGATATTAAAAAAAAGGTTCTCCACCAAGAGGGTGGCTGGGTACTGGAACAGGCTCCCCAGGGAAGTGGTCACAGCACGAAGCCTGACAGAGTTCAGGAGTTGTTTGGGCAATAGTCTCAGGCACTCTCAGTTCTTGGGGATGGTCCTGTGCAAGGCCAGGAGTTGGACTCAATGATCCTTGTGGGTCCCTTCTAGCTCAGCATATTCTGTGATTCTAGGAAATAGAAAGTTACCTGAAATCAGATGTATTTTTATTCTCTTGATTCAAGTCTGATTCAGACCTTTTCTAGAACATTTTTGGAATCTGCAGCTTTAACAGGAGATTAGTTTTGCCATTTTCAAAAAGATTTTTGATTCTCCCCAGCTCATTTAAAATTTTCACATTCCATCATGGCAATGAGAAAGTCACATTCTGTCCACTTGGTGAATAGAATTTATTCAGGGATGTCCAAATACTTCACAGAATTGTAAAGAAACCATTACCTGCTTGTAGAGTAAACCTGACAGTTTGATATTTAATGCACTGTAAACTACATTCCATAGGTACTGTTGGAGCTGCTGTTATCACGTGCCATAGGGATCACTTCACTGTTTCTGCATAACCTGCATTATTAATATGGAAGTATTTAACACCGTAATGCATA